GAAGAAGAAGAAGAAGAAGAAGAAGAAGAAGAAGAAGAAGAAGAAGAAGAAGAAGAAGAAGAAGAAGAAATTCAGAAAAAAAGAACCAAGAAAGTAAACCTGTGTTCCAGTTTCATTTCTGTTGCTTTGACAAATACCTGGCCAAAAGCAGCTTTTGAGGGGAAAGGGTTTATTTGGATTACAATTCCAGGTCACAGTCTATCACTGAGGGAAGTCCAATCAGGAACTGACGACAGGAGCTGAGGCCTGCTTGCTACTCCACACATTCATCACCTCAATTCAAAACCAAAGAAGTCAAAACCACACAAGTGTGCTGAGAACTGTGGAGGATATGCTGCTTGCTGGTTGTCGGCCAGGCTTATGCCCAGCGAGCTTTCTCTCACAGTTCAGAACCACCTGCTAAGGGGACGGCACGGCCCACTGAGGGCTAGCCTTCCTGCATCTATTATAAAGACACTCCCCTTCAGACACTCACAGACTCACCTGATCCAGGCCACCCCTCAACTGAGGTTCTCTGTTCAGATAACTCTAGTTTGTGTGAAGTTATAGTTAAAGGTAACTAGAACAACTCGTTAAATGTTAAACTTGCCAGAACATGCTCTTACCTGGACAGGGTGAATCCTGGTTTTGGTGCTTCCAATGCCTTCAACCGTAGTGACGGCAGCCCCGTGGAGAGAGCAGATAGGGACCAGGCAGGCAGCGACTGAGAAATGACTTCAAAGATTATGCAGGGAAGCCAAAAAGAATTCATAGAAGCAACAGTAGCATTGGAAAACAAAAAAGAAAAAAAAATGTGTTGACAGGATTATAATTACACTGACATGAAGATAATTGAGCGCACGTTAAAATTAAATCATCGAAATAAATGATTTTGAACTTATATGTCTGCCTAAAAATAAATATTGTAATTAAGAAAGGCATTATCTCCCCCAAATTATCTTGTTAAAAATAGGAGCTGGAGTGGTCTTGGTTGAGATCCCTATTTCATCCTGTCGGTGTGAAAGCTAGTTAATAAAGAGCTGTTTTTCCTTGAAGCGTATGGGTTGTGAGTGGTTCTAGAAAAAGCCTGAGAAGCTTGAGGAGCAGTTAAGTGAGATGACCCGTAAGGTGAGTCATTTAGTATTTCCACTGGAGCCTGAGTCCCACGGAGGCAAATAACCTGATCCTCTGCTTAGGGAAAGAGCAGCTTAACGGGCAGAAGGAATAGGCTTCCACCGCTCTCTCGGAGTGGCACTTATAGGAAGAATCTTGGCTTTACAGACCAGTGGACTCGGGGCTCCTGATCTAATTCTCACTAGCTCTATGGCTATGGTGAAAGTACAAAGTCCCTTAGAGCCCCAGTTTCCATGTTTGTAAAACATGGTGCCAGCATTGCCGGGACCGGTGCCACATGCTCCAAATGGTGACCTCTGGGTTGTTCACTTAAGTTCTGGCTTGTAAAACTGAGGTTATCCCAGAGTCCTGTGTGGACTGGAATGTATCCCACAGAGTACCAGGAACAAATGCTATGGGGCTTCAGCGCTGGAGTTGGCCACAGGCCTGGTAGCACAGGAAAGATACCTGATCTTTTTGGAGATGGGGTCGTATCTTGAAATCATCACCGTGCAGGCGCCGCAGTCGCCTCCTCCACAGCTGTACTTTGTGCCTGTGAGTCGGACTGGAGGGGTTACGCTTAAGGAAGAAAGAGGAACTTGAGCTTTCAGTTCTTATCATAAAGTTCTCACCAATGGCAAGAATGGCATCAGAACGCACACACATCCTTTCTTTTCCTATTGCTGTGATTAAAAAAAAAATACTTGGACAAAACAGCTGAAGGGCAAAACAGGTTGGTTTATTTGGGCTCTTAGTCTGAGGGACAGTCCACCAGGGTGGGGAAGTCAGGGCATCAGGAACTTGAAGAAGACACTCACATGATATTCAGAGTCAAGAAGCAGAGAACTGGATGCAGACATGCCACCGCTCTGTTGGCTCTCTCCATTTCATACAGTCCAGGATCCCTCCTGCCCCCCACCAGAGAACGGTCCCACCCACAGTGAAGATGAATGTTCCTGTATTGACTCATATATGATAACCTTCCACCCGCACATCCAGAGAACATCCCTCAAGTGATTTTGGATTCTGTCAAGTTGACAACCAGCATGGGAGAGGCCTTCTTGAAGTACCTCGCTCACCTGACCAAAGATGAGTGCTTAGTGTAAGTCAGCCAGAATGCAACATCTCATGAGGCAGACGTCACTGCCAAGGGGCAAGGAGTCAGACTCATGACTCATGCTCCAGAGCAGCAAGGCAGAACCCCTTCCCCCAACCCCGTGCTCCCCGCCTCAGCACTTTGAAATACTGTTTATTCCTGCTTAGAAACACTCCAATTTTGGTTTTACATCAGTGTTATCCTTCTAATCACACATAGTCGGGAGGGAAAAGCAACTGAAAAGCATTCCAGTCATTGAGAATGGAGAATTGGACCTTCTGCAATACAACTTCTATTGATCAAGGAAACAAAAAGGCAGGAAAGAAAGCAAAACTGAAACTAAAATCACAATAAAAGTTGGTGTGCTGGGCCAAAAAAAGAGGGCAGCTACATTTGGAGTTACTTGACATGAAGTACTTTAAGCTTTCAAATTATTCTTGAGTTGACAGTGGGGAGGTCAGAGGATTGAGCCCTCATTGTTGTCCGAGTGTTAGGCAACGAGTTAGAAACCAGCAAGTTCTTCAGAGTCCTGGTTGATGCTTCGCAGGCTGCTCGGGGAGGTTGTCATCCATATTTTGATTCAGCTGTGGACATTTTGTACAACACTACTAACTGATCAGGAAAGGTGTGTCCACTAGTGCAATAGTGGCAAGTCCATTACAGGCATAACCAACTTTTTTTTTTTTTTTGCTTGTATTTGAGGCCCACAGCCTATTTGTGGCCATGGAGGTCACAGGCTGCAGTAGGAAAGTTACTTTTCTTTTGCTAAATGGACTTGATGTGCTTGTCAAAGTGCCTTCTAGATAATTTTGCTCCTGCCCGTATTGCTGTCTTATTTGGTCCAAAATCCTTCTTTCTTCTTCTTTTTTCTTTTTTTTTTTAAGTGGGCAGCAGCAACTGGAGAGACTCATAATTGGTCAAAGTGATGAAAATAACTGACTTACGCTAAGCCATAAGTTGGACATCTACACCAGCCCCTTCAGGACTCAGGGAACATTACGGAAGAGGCTGTCTTCTGGGCATTATATGGCCGTTGAACTCTTGAAGTCAGAGCAGCTGTGACTGCCCGCCAAGACCTGCGCAGGAGTGGGATCACCACATCAATGTCTATAATTGGGGGGTGGGATGTCTCATGAGGCACCATACTTGTGAGCATTTATACACAGTTAATGGTTGATAGGAGAGGAAATGGTATTTTCTTCAGGGGCATAACCATTGGTACACAGTGTCCATGTTCTGGTAGATTACCCTCACCCATGATCCTGTAAGCAAACCTAGGGAAGCTCACTAGGTCATTAAAAAAAGGAAATATGCATGCAAAAGTAGAAGAAGGAGAAGTTGGGAAGGGGAGGGCACAAGAGAGGGTAACGGGGCAACCCAAAATACATCAGATATGTATGGAAATATCCTAACAAACCCATTGTTACATACAGTAAATATGCCAAGAA